AAACAGATTTTATAACTGTATTCCATAGGTTCAAAAAGTAAAGTAGAGACATGAAAACTATTTTTAAAAAGATCCACATCAATCTTCTGGAGATCAAACCTAAAACGTATGAGATAAAAATATACTAGATAGAATTAATGGCAGGTTAGAGAAGATGATAAAAAGATTGATAAATTGAAGATAGCAATCAAAATTGTCTGTAGTTCTCTGTTGCTGCTGTAACAAATTACGACAAACTCTTGGCTTGAACAACACAATGTATTATCTTCTTGCTCTGTAGGTCAGAAGTCGGACACAGGCTTGAACAACACAAATGTATTATCTTCTTGCTCTGTAGGTCAGAAGTCGGACACAGGTCTCCCTGGGCTTAAGTCATGGTGTCGGTAGGGCTGAGTTCCTTTTGGAAGGCTCTAGTGGAGAATCCATTGTCCTGATTTTTCCAGCTTCCAGAGGCTGCCAGTCTCTCTCAGCTGCTGGCCCCCTTCCTCCATCTTTGAGGCTAAAAATGGCCATTGAGCCCTCACGTCGCATCACGGTCACCTGTACGTGGTCAGATTTCTCTCTGACTCTCCTTCCTCTACTTTTAAAGACCCTTGTGGTTACAGTGGGCCCATCCGTATAATCCAGGGGGATCTTCCTACCTTAAGGCCCAACTGATGAGCAACCTTAATTCCATCTGCAACCTTGATTCTTCTTTGCCCTGTAGCCTAATGCAGTCACAGGTCCCAGGGCCTAGGAAGTCGGTGTCTTTGGGGACTGTTGTACTACCTACCACACTATCCAAAAATAAAACACAGAGGAAAGAGAATTTAACAAGAATAAACAGAGTATCAGTGAGCTGTAGGGTAACTTCCAGTTGCTAATATACATGTACTTGGAATCTCAAAATGGGGAGAGGGGACGGAAGAGTATATTTGAAGCCATAATGGCCCCACATTTCCAAATTTTATGAAAACTATAAACCCAGAAATCTGAGAAGCTCGATGAGTCCTAAGTACTAGAAACATGAAGAAAACTATACTGAGGCACATCATAATCAAATTGCTCAGAAGCTGAAAAAGATGAAAGACACGTTACATGCAGAGGAACCAAAATGCGGTGGAGCCGGGGAGGCAGCCAATTTCTCATCAGAAACAGTGCTCAGAGAACGCTTACCAGGCCAGACCATATTCTGGGGCAAAACCAAGTCTTAAAGGGATTTAAATCATACAACATGTGTTATCTGACCACAATGGAATTAAATTAGGAATCAATAACAGAAAGATTTCTGGAAAATTCCCCCAATTTGGAGACTAACACATTTCCAAATAACTCATAGGTCAAAGAAGAAATCCAAAGGGAAGTTATTTGGAGTTGAAAATATTTTGAGCTGACTTAAATGAACACAACACAACATACCAAAATCTGGGGGCGGGGTGCCCGGAAGCAGTACTTGGTGTAGCACTAATCACTATAAGCAACTAGAGAAAGAAGACCCAATGAAACCTAAAGTAGACGGAGGAAAAGAAGTCACAAAGATCAGAGATGCAATCAATGAGCTAGAATACACATTTGCAGACTACAGCCTGTGGCTGGCTCCCTCTTTTTGGAAATAAAGTTTTACACAAACACAACTGTGCCCTTTTGTTTACATATTGTCTGTGGCTGCTTTTTAGCTACAACAGCAGAGTGGGTGGTTATGGCAGAGACCGTATGGCCTGACAACCTAAAATATTTACTATTTAGCCCTTTAAAAAAAAAAGTTTGCTAACCAGAAACACAATAAACAAAATCTGTAAAACAGAAAGCTAGGTTTTTGAGATCAAAAAAATTGGTAAGCCCCTAACAATACTGATTGATCAGAGGGAAAAAAGAAGACACAAATGATCAACGTCAGAAATGAGAGAGGTGACATTACTACAGATTCTCCAAATGTTAAAAGGATCCTAAGGGTATATTATGGACAACTTTCCGCCGGTACATTTGACAACTGAGATGAAAGAAATTCCTTGAAAAACACACACTACCAACGCTCACTCAAGAAAAAATACATGTATGTATTAAAGAAATGGGATTTGTTATTAAAGACCTTCCCACAAAGGAAACTCCACGTCGAGGTGGCTTCACCATTGCATTCCACCAAATATTTAAAGTATGAAATAATAGCAACTGTACACAAACTCTTCCAAAAAAATGAAAAGGTAGGAATAGTTACCAGCTTATTCTGTGAGGCCAGTGTGACCCCAGTACCCAAACCAGACAAAGGCCTTCTAGGAAAAGAAAACCACAGACCAAAATCCCTCATGAATACAGATGAAAAATTCTCCAGCCTGAGAAAGGGCATCTACAAAAATTCTACAGCAGATCTACTTAATGATGAAAGGCTTGGTGCCTTTCCCATCAGATCAAGAATAAGAGAGGATGTCTGCTCTCACCACTTATGTTCAGCATTATGTTTGAGGCTCTAGTCAGTGCAATTAGATAAGAAAAAGAAATAAAAAGCACCCAGATTGGAAAGGAAGAAATAAAACTGTCTGTGCAGGTGGCCACCATCACCCGTGTGGGTGCACTGGGAGGTCAACGGAGAAAGGACAGTCTGTTCCTCAAATGGTGCTGGAAAAAGTGGACATCCATATGCAAAAGAATGAAGTTCAATCCATGCCTTGCACCAAATACAAAAATTAACTCATACACCTAAATGTAGATCCTCAAGCCACGAAACTTCTAGCAGAAAACTTAGGACCTTGGGTTAAGCGAAGATTTCTTAGATACAACACCAGAAGCACACTCCATAAAAGAAAAAAAAAATGGATACATTGGGCTTCACTAAAATTAAAAACTTCTGCTCTCGTAAATATACTCTTTTTTTTAAAGATTTTATTTATTTATTTGACAGAGATAGAGACAGCGAGAGAGGGAACACAAGCAGGGGGAGTGTGAGAGGGAGAAGCAGGCTCCCTGCTGAGCAGGGAGCCCAATGCGGGGCTTGATCCCAGGCCCCTGGGATCACGACCTTCGCCCAAGGCAGATGCTTAACAACTGAGCCACCCAGGCGCCCTTGCTCTTGTAAATACACTCTTAAGAGAACGAAAAGAAAAGGCACAGACAGGGAGAAGTATTTGCAGAGTATAGATCTGATAAAGAACTTGTATCCGGAATATGTAAAGAACTCTCAAAACTCAATAAGGAAAAAATGAACAATTTCAAAAATGAACAAATGATTTCAACAGATATTTCACTGAAGAAGATACACGGATGGCAGTGAAGTACCTAAAAAAAGATGTCCAAGATCATTAGTCATCTGGGAGCTGCAAATTTAAACCCGATGCTCTACCTCTGCTCACGCATCAGAATGGCTAGAGTGAGAGGACTGACCACACCAGGTGCTGGCGAGTGGAGCCCTGGAGCTCTCGTACTCTGCTGGCCAGAACGTAATGGTGCCCTCACTTGGGAAATCACCTGTGGCCGTTTCTTAAAAAGTTGAACATGGGTATATAAAAATATGCATAAATAAACACTCACAAAAAGTTAAACGTGCAGGCTCAGAGCATCAGGAGGGCAGGACTCTAGGCAGGGGCACAGCTGGGCAGGAGAGCACCTGCCGACCTCTGGGCAGGATGGATCCAAGTTTGGTGGGAACTTGAATGAAGCTTATGCGACATGAGTGGCTCTCTTAGGGAAAAAGAATTTAAAACGTGAAGTCAAGACTAGGTACAAAAGTGCGTACTTAGGACAAGCAAGTAACTACAACAAATTCTTGGAGTCCTAGATCCCTTTCTTCTGAGTCATCTTGAGACACTGGTTCAGAGAAGCTTCTATAGAGAAGCTTCCTGGTGGCACCTGGCTTCCCCCCAGCCCCCGCCTCAGTGGCAGCGCCCACACCCCGTGAATGACCACGGCAGCCCACCAAACCATGGGGGCCACCTCTCCGGCTTCGGGCTCTGCTGTCTCTCCCCTGGCTCCTCTCCGCTCTGCCTCCACAGCCCTGCTGCCCAGCGGGGACAAGGCTCGGGTGTGCGGAAGGCATCCTGGGGTCCCAGCAAGCTTATCTCCTTGCTTGCCACCCTCCTGAGCTTTGGGCCGCACGGGCCTCTCCAGACTGCTGGCCTTGCTCGGTGCCCCCTCAGCGAGGACGCACCCCACCTGTGCTCTGTCTCTCAGAGCACTCTCCTCTGCTTCCTGGTCCTTCGGGGCTTTGCTGTGACCACTGTCAGACTGACGCCTGCAGGCTGTCTTGTCTGTGAGGGGTGACAGGATTGTGGGGTGGGTGAGAGCAGGGATAGGTGGAGAATTCTGGAGCGTTCTGCTTCATGCTGGTTTAACAGCAAGGCTCTGTAACGTTACTACTTCTGGAGAACCGGGTCTCATCTTCAGGCTGTGATGTCAGAGCCTAAGTTAAAAGCACATAGTGATGTTTCACTGTAATCAGGAGGTGGAAAGCGAATTTAAAACACAATACGGGGCGCCTGGGTGGCTCAGATGGTTGGGCGTCTGCCTTCGGCTTAAGTCATGATCCCAGGGTCCTGGAATCGAGTCCCGCATCGGGCTCCCTGCTCCTTGGGAGCCTGCTTCTCCCTCTGCCTCTCCCTCTCTCTCTCTGTCTCTCATGAATAAATAAATAAAATCTTAAAAAAAAAACAACACAATACGTAGTGAGGCTACTCCGGGTTCTGTGCTTCTCCCAGGTTGCCTCAGATTTGAGTGCTTGTTCCCTAATAGTGGGGGGTGGGGGTGCTCTAATGATTTCCATTTTGATGTGGAAATGTAACAAAGACCAAGGTATTACACTGCAACCTGGAAGGGCCCCAAAGACAGAGAGTGGGAAGTGTGAAAGGGGTGGGGGCAGGGGGCAGGGGGCTGCCAAAACAGAACCAGAAGCCTGGCCGTTGCGGCGAGGTTTGGGAGAGGCGGCCTCCTCCCACAGCAGGGAAGAAGAGGCTCACCGGCCTTGGGGTGGAGAGTGCTGTCGCGGTCGCTGTCGCACGGGTCCTTGCAGTAAGCCTGTGTCTCCTGTCTTGCAGGTGGTGCTGGGGAGCGGGAGAAGGTGCCGGCCACCCCCGAGGCGCTCCTGCTCATGGCCAGCTCCCAGCGTGACATGGAAGACTGGGTGCAGGCCATCCGCCGGGTCATCTGGGCCCCACTTGGCGGAGGTACTGCCCGTAGATCGCATGCTCACCCTCTAGAACCCTTGCCTTCAGGTAATCATGGCCCTCCGCCCTGCACTGAGCCCGCAAGACCCCTCTCGCCCAGGGCTCACTGGCTGAGTCCTGAGTGGCCTACAGGAGGCAGGCTGTGCTGGACTCGTCTGCTGCCAGCCCCCAAGAGTCACACCTCCTGTGCGCCAGGGGGGTGGCGGCGGGGGACATCAGGGCAATTTTCCAAAACATGCCCTCCTCTAGTGAGACTCCGGTGGCGGGCGCATGCCTGCCTCGCTGCATCCAGAGCCCTGCTGGACAGTAGACGTCCGTGAGGTGGTGTGCACTAGGCGCGGTGTCCCTCCCCCTGCCGTGCCTCGCTGTAGCCACATGGGGCCCCTGTGCTACGCACACAGCCTGCTCCCGGGTCCCATCTCACAGCAGGAGCCGCCATTTACTCCCTCCGCCTTGACTAGGAGCACTGATTGGGTGCCTGAAACGTACCCGCTCTATTCCAGGCACTAGGAGTTCAGTGATAAACAAAATAGAGGATTCCTCCACCCTCCCCCCATCCTTCGTTGGCGGGAGACAGATAATAAGCAGTAAAGGTGTCACATGGTGTCGAGTAGAGAGAAACGTAATGAAGTAAAGCTCAGTAGGATGATAGGGGATGCTGCGTTAGATGCTGTAGCCCAGCCAGCTCAATGAGGTGGCCAAGAGAGCCAGGGGAGTGCTGGGTGAGGAGCATTCAGGCAGAGGAATCAGCGAGTGCAAAGGCCCTGAGGTGGGAATGAGTGATGTGAACACGGAATCTTGGGAAAGCCAGCGGGTCTCAGGGAGTGAGGATGGGAGAGTGGAGGACGTGAAGCAGGAGAGGTCACCGAGGCCTTGGGGACGTGGTGGGGATCTCAGATTTTGTTCTGAATTGATGGGGCACCGAGGAGGGCTCTGAGCAGGAGAGAGACACAACCTGGCTCAGATTTATAAAGGGCCCTCTGGCCGCCACGTGAGCAGTGGAGCATCGAGAGACAAGAGTGGGCGCAGGAGGCTGAGACCGCCCTCAGACACGGGTGAGGGGGGCCAGGGCTGGCATGGGAGTGGAGGAGACGGTGAAGCGAGCCCGGCCGCAGGGTTCTGAAGGTGGAGCTGCCGGGCTTTGCTGAGGGACGTGGGGTGCGAGAGAAAGGAAGGATGGCCCCCGGCCGTGCAGTTGCTGTCTCTGTAGGTTGGTGGCCCTCTGCAGTCATCAAGAAAGAGCTTGTAGGAGGGGTCGTCCTGCCGGCCGGGCCCTGCTGAGTGTGGAGACCAGGGGCTGCTGGCCTGTGACCGGGCGAGCCGTGAATGTCCCCTCTCCCCCGCACAGTGTCTGAGTGGTGGACGGTCAGGCGGTGGCAGAAGCTCGCCGGTGGGGGCCCTAGAGGCTGAGCCCTTTCCTCACGCCTCACCTCGCTGTCTCTCTCGCTTTTGCCATTGCCGGCCGCGGCCTGCCCGACCACCCTTCTGAGAGCCGTGAATCCTCATGGAGGAGAGCCGATAGAATTTCCGAAGTCAGGTGTTCTCCTGCGTGTCATAAATGGCCTCACCCTGTTAGCCATGGCCTCCCTGCCCCTGATGATCGCAGCAACTTTGACCCCAGACCCAAGCCCACCCAGGGATGTCTGCAGCCTTCACAGACTTCCTTCAGTGCAGGCCGGTTGAAATTGAACCCATGGAACGAAGTAGAGCCCAAAGACAGGCCCTCATGCAGCTGGACTTTGATGATGACAGGTGCCACCTTTGAACACCGGGGGAAGGAGAACATCATCGTGACCTTGCGGTAGAGAGAGATTTTTTGCAGGAGTTCCAAAAGTCATTAATCTTGTAGGAAAAGGCTGATAAATTGTCCTCCACAGGATGAAGAGCATCTGTTCTTAAAAGGCAGATTAGGAAAATGAAAAGACAAGCTCACACGGTGAGCTTTGCGAACTCCCGCAAAGACAGACAAGCCAGTAGAAGCTCGGGCAGGAGACTTGAACAGGCACTTCACCAAAACAGAAATCCTCGTGACCAGTGAACCCAGGCAGCGTGCTCCACCCACTGGTGCTCAGGGAGGTGCGTGGGAAAGCACTACACCCGCCAGAAAGCCTAAACAAAAAAGGCGGTGGGACCAAGTGGTGACGCGGACAGAGAGCTCCAGGCACCTGTGCGACTCGCTAGGGAAACCTGCAGGATCTGCGACGGTCGATGCTAAGCACGCGGAGGCCCCAGCAGCTCCACAGCTCCGCATGTCCTGGGTGGAAATCTGGGCGCACGAGGCGCCTGGCGGGTGCAGTCGGTTAGGGGTCTGACTCTTGATTTTGGCTCGGGTCGCAATCTCAGGGTTGTGAGATCGAGCCCCACATCCAGCTCTGCACTTAGTGTGGAGTCTGCCTGAGATTCCCTCTCTCCCTCTGCTCCTCTCCCTGCTCGTGCTCTCTCAAAAAACAAACAAACAAACAAACAAACAAAACAGTGCTCGTGACTTGTACAGGTCACGCGTTCCCAGCAGCCTTACCCATGCCAGCCGGACACTAACCCGGTGTTTGGGAACAACGCACTGAGTAACTACAGATGATTCGTTCTCGCAGCAGAAACCCACCAGCAATGAGAAAGAATTAACTACGGCTCCACCTGGCAACATGCATGAATCCTAAACACATACGGTGGGACTCGGGAGGCCCAGTAACATGCTCTAGGTATAATTACGTTTCTATAAAGCTGAAAAACAGGGCAGCAGGAAACTGTATTATTTGGGGATAGATAAAGAGGCAGCAGAAAGAAAGAAAGGCAGAGAAATGAATGCCATAAAAGCCAGGATCGTGGTCCTAGGTGCACCGGCGTTCACTTTACGACAATGTGTAATCTGCACACATACGCCTGAAATACATTTCTGGATATACACGTAATTCAAACTATAGAATATAAACAAAAATAAAGAGAAACTAAAGGCCCAGGAGGCTACGTAATTTGCCCAAGACTACCCAGCCCGTCAGGGAGCAAAGCTGAGAAACGAAGGTGGGTGCTCTGACCCCAGACGTCGTCGTGCTTTGACTTGGACCGCGCAGGGCTCTGGCACAGCCCGTCTGCACGGGGAGCCGGCTTCTGGCCACACGTCTGCGTCTCTCTCTGTCTTTCTCTCGCCCCCTCCCTCCCGGCCTCCTCCTCTGTGCTTGCGCACAACTGGGACCCTTCGCAGAGTCCCACGTAGAACACAGATGCGTCCCTCCCAATGCCCCCCAGCATTTATCGAATTTCTCGGGCTGTGTGCTGAAGAACGTGGAAGAATTAAAACAGGAACCATCATCAAAGGCGCTTATCTCCTTTCCACCCGCAGCGTAGAGGAAACGCAGAAATCCCGGGGGTTAGCGATGCCAGACGTGTCTGGGCAAGCCGCGGGCACTCGCAGGTGGGCGCAGTCAGCCTCTGCAGCTTTCTTGGCAAAGCGGTTATTAGCCTGGGTTCCCCTGGAAAGGAGGCTTAGAGGATCAGTCCTTTCACTGTTCCTCACGGAGCCCGGGCGCCCTTTCAGGCATGTTTGTTGTGGCAGAGAACGGGCCACCTCTGACAGGCGGGAGCGGGCAGCCTGCCTGCTGCAGTCAGGGGAGAGCCCAGCCGTCCCCACAGAGAAAGCGGGGGGCAGATGCACGGGGTCAGCGGAGCCTGTTACCGTGGATGGCCTGCCCAGAGGTGGCCCTGACCGCGGTACCTCTTGTCTGGGCATTCATTCATTCATTCATTGCGCCAGTCATTCATTCATTCACTTGGGAATGTGTTCTAGGGGCTGGGGGTATAGCAGTGAGCAGGACAGACAAGGTCCATGCCCTCCCTCGTGAAGCCCCCATTCTAGAAGGGAAACCAGGAAACAAGGGAGATAAGGAAGCCCATTGCAGGTTAGACGACGCTGAGCTCAGTGGGGAAAGACAAGGTGGGGGAGAGCAAGCAAGAATGATGGGGGTTGGAGTTTCAGGACCTTTGAGGAAAGGGCATGAAACGGTGAATTACACGCGTATCTGGGCAGAGAGTTTCGGGGGCAGAGATGGCAGTGTCCGTGCTGGAAGAACAGCAAGGAAGCTGGTGTGCCTGGAGCAGAGTCTGCGAAGAGGGCGAGAGCAGGGAACAGGTCAGAGAGGCGGGGGGTGTAAATCCGCAGGGCCTTGTCATCATGGTGACCCTGGCTTTTCCTGAGTACCTTGGTGCCATGAGTGGGTTTTGAACAAAGAATGGCAGAGCCTGACTCGGGTTCTGACGGGATCCCTTTGGCCACGTGCCGAGAAGAGATCAAGGACAGAAGCAGGGCGATCGGGTGAGAGCTCATTATTCAATAATGCCGGTGAGAAAGGGTGGCAGCTTGGTCCTGGGTGGTATTGGTGATGAGATGTAATTGAATTCTTGATATATTTTAAGGGAAAGGCAGTAGTATTGCCCTGCTGGAATGGAAGAAAGGTGTAAGAGAATGGGAAAAGTCAAGGGTAATCCCACGATGTTTGGGTCCAGGCCATTAACTGAGATGAGAAAGACCACAGGAAGTGCAGTGTTTGGAATGAAGATTGAGAGATCATACTGGGGCTTAGTCTGAGAGACCTGTTAGAGACTAAGTTTAGATGTCCAGCAGGCAGTTAAACATTTAAGTCTAGAGAATTAGAGGACTGGGTTGGAGAGAGAATTTGGGGGCTTTTGACACATAGATGGGGTTTGAAGCCATGAGGCTGGGTGAGACACCATGGAACAAGCGTAGGGACAGCAGAGGACCAGGGCTGAGCCCTGAGCTGCTCCCAGGTGAGAAGTCAGGGGCAGAGGAGGAGCCAGCAGAGGGGGCTCAGAAGTAAGGGAGAGGAGCCAGGAGTGAGTTGGGGATCCAGAGCCAAATGAAGAGAATGTCTCGGGAAGAAGGAGCCGTGACAACGTGTACTGTGGACAGATCAACGAGAAGAGAATGGACGTTGAGCACAGTTCCCGCTGCCTTGGGCACCTGTGGTTCTGCCGGAGTGCTGGCAATAAAGCCTGAGAATAGTGGGTTCGTGAGAAAGGATAAGAAGGGAACTGGA